TTACAGTAGTCGAAACAAATTATAGTGATATAAATCATCAAGAAAGTGGTGATGAAGGGCCTGAAGAAATTAAGGTTTTTAAGACAGTTGACCTAGAAATAAATAATGATGAAAATAAAATGGCAATAAATAATAACAAAGCCGCAAAAAGGGTACGTACAGATAATGTTAACCTGAAAAGATATCAACAAAAAAAAACAAAACTTCCTTCCACTCTACTTCAAAAATTATTGCATAGGGAAATACAACAAGAACGAAATATTGTTTTACAATGTGTAAGATATATAGCGAAAAGTAATTTCTTTGACAACGAAAACTTATAAATATTTTGAATTTGAGGAATTTTTATTTAAAATAAGTGTTCTATCCCAAGAAACAGAAATCGCGGTTATACTTGACCGAAATGCAAAATTTTGCCGCACTTGCACGTGTACAAAACCCTGAGATACTACGTCATTGATACGCTAACGACACAACTTTAAAAGTATTAATTTATTAAAAAAAAGTTATATACAAAATTAAAAAAAAGTTGTAGGCAATACAATAACGAATAACTTTTATAAGACGTTTTTTATCAATTAATTGACATTTTAAAGGATTTATAAAGGAAAAACACTAAAAAAGTAGTGTGGTATACTTTTGTTATTTGGTTTTACTCTGTTGCTTGGGCGTCTATGGATGAAACAATACCCTGCCCATGTAGGTTACAGATAAGAAGAACGATCGCTGTAGAAAATAGTGTCCCAGAAATATGCACAAAATAAGTGAGGCGCTGCGATCGCTCAGTTGTCTTAATAAAAGCGAGCTAATTTGAAATGACCAATGCCGCGAAGAAAATTTGCACAATATTCTACTAACTTCATCTACTTGTACTCATAAACAGCTAACTTCACAGATTCTACTTACCGATGGCAGCGCGGCTAGTGGCTGAAAAATTAACTATAAATTCTACAAATTTTCAGGGTCAGGCGGGCTAATGCTTTAGTACGTAGCGATCGTTCTCCTTCTCTAACCTCCATGACTCTGCCCATTGACCCGAGAGGATTTGTGTACGTGTTCCATCGGGCTCGGAAAGAAAAAACATTGTTGATGCAAACATACGTCTAGTGAAACAAAGTTTTGTGTGGACGAATTTGTTGTGTAGGGCAAATACAAATACCTACACGCACTAGAGACCCGGCTTAACAAAGCAAGTTCCGTGTTTAGGTTTTATTATTTATTTATTAATGAAACAAAAAAGTTTGGCTAATAAAAATTAAGAAAAAATTACATTAAGTTGATAGCAAAGACTCGGTGAGATACAAGTTTAGAAAACTTGTTTAAATAGAATACCTACTTTTTCATTTTAGAACTAAAAAGGAATGTCAGAACGAATCCCCTTAGTCCTCATTTTGTTTTATAACAAATGTCCCAACCCCAATCGTAACCGTTGAAAGAACTTATCTCAAATCTAAATTCATCATTTGGAAACATTAGCCTCCTTTAGAAGTTCTTGTGATATTCACTCACTCGTAAAGATATCATGGGAAATCCTCAACTCCGTTTCGTTAATGTTGTCATGACAAGACATCTAAAACCCAATTAAAGCCTCTAAGTTTTGAATTCATAATCATATTGAAAAATCTGTATAAATCGTAGGGAAAATCTGTGTCGGTACGATAGCCTAAAATATGTATAGATACAGATAAATCTGTACTTATGTAGTTACAGAGTAAAATTGAACATGTTCAATTCAACTCGCGGCGAGTGAATCTATTCGCAGCGTAAGCCCTAACCTGTCACATACAGCGAATAGTTCGGCGAGTAGCGCCTCTATTCGCAGCGAGTATTCGCTGTGTGACTGTGGCTTAACCTGCTGGCGTAATGACTGGTATATACTTTATTTCGTAGGTCTTAATATATTTCCAATTTTCCTTTTTTCACCTTTAGTTTCGTTTCCATGTATGAGGTCGTGTACGTGTACGTTTTTGTGACTATTTTGTGATTATGGTTGTTAGGTTCAACTTAAAACAGTTTGAAACGTTTATATGTTCATTAGGATTTTTTTTATTTCTAAAAATACTCACAATCCATATTATTTGTCCGAGCTCATGTTGACCCCTGAAGTTGCTTGATTTTGCCCGCATGCAAAATTATGACGTCACTTCCGGTTTGTATTTAAGGTGTAATTGTAGTTTATCAAATACGTCATGAAAATGTATGTCAAACGAAAGTTTTTGATGAGTAGAATAGAAATATCAAAGGTCGTCAAGCTATATTTATTCGCTAGCCTGAGTCGACCACCATTAAAAAAAATTATTTTTAAATTTATCTTAAGTCATCGAATACATGGATTTGTTTACGATTTTCTGAAAGTAGAACCTCTTCTCAAATGACTGAACCTTTTATTTGCCCGGATCTGACTGTCGACTTAGTTTGAAGAAGTAAAGAGCCTATGCTTATATTTCATCTCTGTACGGTCGCGGTCAGAAAATGTTTACCACTTTAAGGATCATAATTGCATGCACACGTTTAGGTCACAAGTTCTAAATGTCTATTTCATAATAATTTGATTGACCATAGATTATCTTTTTTGCTTAGATTAAAACAAAAAGGGTAGATACGGTACGCTCATACTGGCATCAAACAAAAACTGATCCCACGGCAGCGCGAACGGGACGCCGAGATCCGCGTCACTGCATTACCGGCCCGAAGAAACAGCACGTTAAGTTTCAACGGCAGCGCGAACGAGACTTCGAGATCCGCGTCACTGCACTACCGACCAATCACGCGACCAGTACTCGACGTCACTACCGATTAAGATTCAAAACAAACAGCAATTTTTAGGAAAAAAACATATTTTATAGTAACTTACGAATGAAAAGTGATGCTGTGGGTGTTATTTTTAGTTCTTGAGCAATTTGAGCACTTATTAAAAACACACTTAGGCATTGTTTTATCATATAAACACAAAATATTATCATAATTTCTTTTTGGCGTTCACATGTACGTCGTTTGCATGTCAAGTTGTGACTAAAGCGATTAGGGTCGTGGACCACAATTCATGCGGATCACTTTTGTGAGGCTAGTGTAGTATCTACCCTTTTGTTTTAATCTAAGCTTTTTTGTAATGATATGACAATCTCAATCAATCGCTCTAGGCGATGGACTGACTACTATCAAGGTTCTTCTTCTTCTTCAACCTTTATCCACCCACTGCTGGGTATAGGTCTCCTCCATGGTGCGCCAATTTGCTCGGTGTTGTGCGATCCGCATCCAATTTCGCCCTGCTACTCTTGTGATGTCATCGGACCATCTGGCGGGCTGCCTACCAACGTTTCTGCGTCCTGTTCTAGGCCGCCACTCCACAATAGCTCGACTCCACCTGTCGTCCGTTCTGCGAGCCACGTGACCTGCCCTATCACTATCAAGGTTACCTATATTTTTTTTTTAAATACTTCGCCTCACGCAAGGATTTCCTTCTGTATCTATCGTAGGTGTAATTCAAACATATAATCTCACATGCACATTGCACATACGCCCAGACCAGGACAAATTTCTGTAAGCCATACAAAATATCTGTGCCGTACGGGAATCGAATCCGCGACCCGTTGCTCAGTAGGCGACTACTTCTGCACTAGCCGTGACGTCAAACAAATATAGAAAACCATTGAAAAATCTAATATCTTAGTTTTTTAACTAAGAATTTAATATCTAGTATAACCTCTCTCTGCAGCTATGACGGCACGTAGTCTATCTCGCATTGATTCAACAAGATATGAAGCGCGAAGAACGCGCATAGATCGGTCCCTCTAATATCATCCCATACTCGAGCACAGTGTGATCTAAGATCATGAGGGTTCCTTCCATTTTGATAGACCCAGCTATGAATCATAAGCCCCCATAAATTTTCAATAAGGTTTAAATCAGCAGACCGATTGGCCATGGGACGAATGTCACGGTGGGGTGCATGTTGAACCACGCCATAGAACGGGCCGTGTGTACCCCCTGCATTATCTTGAACATAATGGGCGGGAATTCTGTTGCCGGTGTTAACAGAAAGCGATTTCGCCTTCCCCCCCAAAATACAGGTTTTAAAAGCAAAAACCTCCCACTATTTAAAATATTTATTAAAATACAATATAAAATACCTATGTATTTTTGCAATAGCATCCATTACTGCAGTGTTGCCAGGTCTTTTTCTGATTCGTCGACGTAGATTTTTCACATCATCACAGGTAGCTGTAGTCCATTTTTTGTTGTATACAGAAATTCAACTCACTACGGGAATTTTTCCGCGCAGATTGGGGTTAATATGCCTAAACTTACTAGACTAGCTGGTAAGGTGTATTGGTTGTTCTTTTAGGGCCAATTTATATTAGCGCAGAGTCGAAGCGTAAATCTAATTATCATCATCATCAGCCTATTAATGTCCCTACTGCTGGGGCACAGGCCTTCTCTATGGATGGAATAGGGAGATTGGGCCATGACCCACCACGCGGGCCCAGTGCGGATTGGTGGGTGCTAACGACTGCAGATGCAGCCGGGACCAACGGCTTAAAGTGCCTTCCGAAGCACGGAGGAGCTCGAGATAGTAATTTTTGGTCACCCATCCAATGACCGACCACTGCGAAAGTTGCTTAAGTTCAACGATCGTAGCTGAACGCGCTAACCACTTGCGCCATCGAGCTCCTCGAATCTACTCTATTATAAATCTAATTATTAACAACAAATTCAACCTTATCTCCACAGCGGACTGGACTATAGATGTAAAACAACTGATTTAAAACGTTTTAAACAAAATGTTGCCGTTTTAAACGGTTGAAAACTGGCATACAAAAATATAAGACTGTTTTTTACACTACTTCATTATGGTAAATTTTTGGTCACCTGACGTCATGTTTCGTTTTTTGCGTTGGCAACATTTGCGTCGAGTAACGATGAGTGACGTCAACGAAAGTGCGAGAGTGTGAGTTTGGTTTTAAACCGAATCAAATTGATTTATATCGTTTGAAAACAATGATTTTTTTTAACTTATGATAAGAGTTTTTATAACTTAGGTAGAAAAACATAGTCATCAACACCAACCGTTTTAAATCCAAAAAAATGGTTGATTTCGGTTTTAACGGTTTTTTTCGTTTTAAACAGATTGGTTTAATTGGTTTTAAACCAGCCTTACATCTATAGACTGGACACATTACTTCAGATTTAAAAAAGACGCGAGCGCTCATTCGACGGAATTCGCGCGTCTGCGCGTGACCAACGTTGATTGGCGCGCACTCTCGAATCCGCGCGCTCACTAACGAACCTACGCGTCATCAGTCGGAACTAAGCCTGTGCAATAGCACTGCTGTTAAAAGCGTATTCGTACAACTTTGCTTTAGCTGTGAACAATTTAAGTTTCGATGCGCTTCGACTCTGCGCGAGTATAAATAACCCTAAGGCAACGCCCATTCTATGGTATATGAATAAAACATTTGGTAAGTTTTCATATTTATTCACAGTTCAAAAATATTTAAGACTGTGGAGCAGCAGCTGGCGTAGTGGTAGCAGCAGCTTCTTCACGAATCCTGTCTTTTTTGAGTGTACCCATGAAGGCTGCTTTATCAGCCGGCGTTTGGAAGCGACCGTGACCAAATTTGGATGACGTGTCGATGAATTTTAAGTTTATCTTCTCAAGGGCCGCTCTCTTCGTGTGGACTCGTAAAGACTAGAAATAAAATAATTGATATTTAACGAGTTCATCACTATTGTAAATAAAGTTTTTAAAGTGAAACTTCTTTACGCACGTTTGACTTGGGGGGTAAGCTGGCGAATGCGTTACGCATTACGAAAAGTGTATTCGGGCGAGGCGGACACGACTCGAGTGGGGGATATAAGCAAGAGAAAGCAGTGCGCGCACATTTTTTTCTCTCTCTCTTATAGCTAGTAAATGAAATATGTATATGTACATGTATATATTGAACACATACACACACACATATATATAAATATACATACAGATGGGAATAAAGAAGTGTCACTTCAGTCGTGTGGTCATAAATAAGCACACTCGTTTTTTTTATTTTATTTAGATTATTTAATCATTTATGATTTTTGCAAAAGCAAAGGAGACGGTATAGTTTTGTATGGGAGGTGGTAGTGAGTAACCGGCAGCATTGGCATTTATACCACTTAAAGTTCATATTTTTTTAAATCATTTGCTAATTTTTCAGATTTTTTTGCACCTCCGTTTTTTTGTAATTAATTATCAAAGTTCCAGGAAATAATTAATCTGGCAGCATTGTACACAATTCTTAAATATGCAGATAGTGCAAATCCTATTATCGATGATCGATATTTTTCATTGGGTAATCGCTTTTTTATGCTCATTCTATTAATGAATGTCAATTGCAATTATAAAATGTAATCTGACTGCTGTCATAGATAGCAATCGTGCCTTTGGGGTTTCCCGAGGGTTGGTGTCAAGCAGGCCATAAAAATCGAAATGACAAAACTATAGGATCAATATCAAGATACTGACTCCATTTGAATTGGGTGCAGAGTAAGAAGATGACACAAATCCATCTATACTCATATTGCATCAAAGCTAAAATAAGGAAGTGCCGGCGAAGTGTAGTACAATAACATCACCCCGTTTCCTCTATGGGTGTCATAGAAGGCGACTAATGGATCACTTCAGGAGTTTTTACCACCTTATTCTGCGTCCACCAATCTGCATTTGGCAATCGCTGTGGATTACTGACTAAACCTACTTTCTTAACAAGGAGAGGCCTTGTGTCCCAGCAGTAGGTCGGATTAAAAAGCCTGTGATGATGAGGGTAGGAAGTTGATGATTTCCCTGCATTATATTGCAATATGTTATTAATTTTAAATTATTCAATTAACAATCGTGCAAAGTAAATATGTAAGAATTTATGAAGTCAATATCTTGTAGACTTTGTGTTTACATTTATACAAATCTGCATTATCATGATTCTGTCTTTTGTTTATTATAAATAATCGTAGCTTTATAAGCAACGTTTAGCTATGAATCTATTAACTTAAAAACCATTATGATTTTTAAACAAAAGTGGAACAATATTACGCTATACTACAAAAATAATGATCAGTTTTATTTTGATATAATCTTGAATATATAATCGAATAGTATTATCTTCTTTTATCGATTACTGACTGTATTAGTTAAGACACATCACTGATATTCTGTGCGTTTGACACATAAAAAAATGAGTTCCTTCGGCTTTGTTTGTTTCTGTTGATAGTTCTTTCGTTCGCGTTATTGTTTATTTTTATATTTATTTGATCTTTTCTACTGTAAATTGACAACGATATTCCCGCTTATTCTGTTGACCACTGCTGTGTCTTCTGGATTCCCGTTTGCTTATTATTTGGATTTTTAATTGCCCCGGTCGGATATCACGACTTTTTGTCAATGTAAGTAAATCTTTTCGCAAACTATTCACTGCTTAATTAATCTACTAATACTTTTTTGTAACCTGCTGTAAAACTGAGAGATAAGATAATTATTAATTACTTATTACATTTCTTGGAGTTTCACTGGAGTTCTTGATAAATAAATAATACGTGTTCTGAGATTCAATTTAGAATTCAAACTTATAACTAAAAAATTAAATTAAAATAATTAAAAAGAAGACAGAGTCACTTTTCTCTTACACTTTCTTTTCACAAATTGTTGTTCATTTATCATAATGTGGTTTCAGATATCATGGCGTGTGTGAATTGCCACATACTGTTGGGGCAGAATATACAATTACATGAATACAATGTTACTAATCTAAGTTCAGAACTTGTATCTATTGTTGAAGAATGGTGTGGTCGTGTGGTAAGTGCAGATTATTTAAATACCATAGTGTATGTACTCCTGTTAGAGGACCATTAACAATGCTATAAAATTCTTATTACAGGTGTCTGTTAATAATCAATTATGTCAGGCATGTCTAATGCTTGTGAAAAGAGAGGCAGCTAATCATGATGAGGACGCTAGTCATCACTCGGAGAGGGAGATTGGACACTCCTGTGTTTGTGTGTGCTGTGGAGTATCACTATCTACACAAAGTGGACGGGGTCGTCACAGACTGCCATCGAGGAGTGTAGCACCTAACTTATATAGAGAACCAAATATTTCCTACATACTGTATGTATAATATTATATTTTAGCCATTTGATTTTTTGCATTTTATATCATACAGATTTGTTTTGAAACATGAAAAGAAGAGATATTTAAGATAAACTTTTGATGGACAGGCAAGACTAAAACTTCTGAAAGAAGTCATTGGTGTACTTTCTTCTTGAAATATTAGACCAACAGTTTATATTTTATGTCTGATTAACCTAGAACAAAAGAAATAAAACATTTCCTTAATTTTCAGGTTCCTGCAGAAGCTTGAGTATGCCATGCTTGTTGGATGAGAGCCTATGAAAACAATCCATTACAAGACGACATAATTGAAATACCTCCAATTGTATTTGTCTTACAGGAATACATTTCTTGTACCGGATCCAGTGGTTAGATTCTTCGGTTCCAGCAAGTTCAGTACTGCTTAGTTCTGAATCAAGTTCTTGGGCTGGAGCTGGAATAGCAAACCCATCACCAAACCATAATCTTATGGAATTACCAAATTATAGATGCATATTCGATTCACCAAACCACTGCTTCTTTTTAGATGGTATATTAATTACAGATGACGAAGATTAATAAAATGTGATTATTTTTTTAAATGTTTTATTCTTCCTGAAGTTTTCCTTTCTCAAAATCATTACTGGAATTTGCAATCATAGTATTTCTATGTATTGAAGTTTCCTAATGAAAGAAAGAAAGAAAGAAAAAGTATTTATTGGCCATAAGTTGGTACATAAGTAGAAAAAAAAACAATGAGCAAAGACAATAAAATTAAAACAAAACGGAGAAAATACACATGAGAACAAATAATGGCCAATCAGGCCCTGCCCCAGCTTAATACTGTTATTGTGGGAACTAATATTCCCACCATAACAGCGCTGGTATTCCGGCAGGGCCTGTGTAATGACGCCAGAGGGACAAAATATTAGTGATTTAAAATTATATAATGGTATAAATAAAAAAACCAAATAAAAATAGGTAGTTAAATGCAAATATATATAAATATTATGATGCTTAAACTATGTTACATAAATAATAAAAGTATAATGGTTATTTTCTTGTAGTTAAATGTCTTATACTTAAGATAAATTGAAAGCTTGTAATTTATATAAACAAATTATCAGGCAATAATGTTATTTATTACCTAGGCATTAAAAACATTTTTTAATGATATCGATTTATTTAAAATCTTCATCCATAGTTAATAACAAAGACAAATAAAAATAGATAGTTGTTTTCACCGCATTTAAGGAGTACTTATCACGCTGTGTGTATCGAGGTATAATGTTATTAATATATTTCAATAATTTTGTGACTATCCTCCATTTTTAACTCTATCGAATATACTTAGTTACCTATATTTATAATTACAATAATCAATTAGATTTTCACTTAAAATTGGCAAAAATGCGTGGTACATAGAGATATTATCCGTTTGTGTATCCTAGAGCTAATGTTTGGCGGGAAACCTTGGATCTTCATTTAGTCATTCCGTCGGAGTAGACTTTAATTATTTTTATACACGAGCATTCGAATTGACTATCAGTTGACGACGAATCATTGAAATAAAGCTTTCTATGAATCACTTCACATTTGAATGCAAACAGAACGCATGTATTCTTCATATTTTCTATTTTTATTTAGAATATAATTACTGAAGACATGGCTGTATGGGCGTGATCTTTTTGCCATCTCTTCAAATAAAACAGCATAGAAGCACTGGGGTAGCCAGCATAAAGACAAAATGAAAAACTTTGCTTGTAATTTAAAAATAAACGGAGGTAAAATAAAAATTGAAATTCATAGGACATTCTAGAAAAAATAACAGCTTTTCAATGATATACTTCTCATGGCTGCCGGTTTTTGACTACCACTTTTATACCGTCTCCTTTGGTCAATCTGGATGCAATCTATAGGAAAATATCAATTTGACTTTTTGTATGGACAAAGGCCCTCTTTCTTGCAGCAACAGGATCAGCGCTGCCATTGATACGGCAATTTAAGCTCATAATTTCAGATTATACGGCATGTTTGTCATTGCCATATAAAATATACGGAAATGACAAACATGCATGCATGAATCGATTTACAAGGATAACGTTATGAGTTAATTACGATTCCAACAAAGTATTGTATAAAATTGTAGTAAAATTAGGTAATACGGCATAATCATGATATTTATTTTAAAATGCGGCAATCTGATGTATCGAATATGGCAACTCTGAACAGGATGCTCGAGTAATATCCTTGCAAAATATAGATATGCCTTTTTATCCTACTTATACTAGAAATGTGAAAGTTTGCATATTACTACAATCACGCAAAAACTACTGAATGGATTTGGATGAAATTTGGTCCGCATATAGTTTATGACCTGGATTGAAACTAAGGCAGGCAAAGTCGCGGGCGGCCGCTAGTTAATAATATATGGATTTTATTATTTGGCAATAACTGAGCAGCGCTGTGTTCTCTGCATAAGTTCACTAGTGTGATAGCTTATAAACATGGGCAGCAGTAGACGTTTTTGTAAGTAATATTGCTATTGCGCAGGCTTCCTTGTCTAATGTAGTTTGGTAGACTCAGTAGGTATTAATAGACTTACTTTTCTCAAGGTAATCACTCGCTTCTTAGGTCCCATGCAACAACCCTTTATCATAACAAAGTCATTATTAACTTCGCCATAATGAGGGAAGCCGCCCATTGGAGTGATACTCTTCTCTGACAGGTCGTATTCAGTTGAAGCATTGTTTTTAATGACTTTCCCATCCTTAGTGTGAATTCCTATAAAAAAATATTTTTTAATAACAATTCTTCAATTAGCAATGGGCAAGTTAATTTTTTGTTGCACAATTTATAAAAGATTAAAATATTTATTTTTTTCCAAAACAAGATTATTGTGAAACAAAGTTTGTAGACAATATAAATTTTGTATTAAATTTTTGTGTTTGGTAGTCCACATTTAGCTATACACATAAACATATATATATATTTACCTTGACCAATGCGATAAATTTTCTTATTCATTTCAGTACGATGATGGTACCCCTTCTGACCAGCACGAGCAACCGTGAAGCTGACTCGGGAAGGATGCCATGCTCCAATACAAGCAACCTTACGAAGACCTTTGTGTGTCTTACGTGGCAATTTCTTGGTGTGCCAACGTGAAGTCACGCCTGAAAAATACAGCATTAACTGAAATTGGTTTTAAACTGTTTTAATTTTATAATAAAATGCTGTAATAGTTAATTGGTAATATAGCAATTCAATTAATTCTTGAATTTAAGAGATGAAGATTAATTTATGAAATTTAATATTAGTTTTGCTTTTCAAACAAGTTTATTTGCTATATTACTGCAATTACTGCTAAAAAAATATAGGCAAATTGATTTATTTTATAGCATACCTTTGTAACCCTTGCCCTTGGTGACACCAATGCAGTCAATCATTTCATCTTGGGCAAATACAGAGTCAATGGGTATAGGCTTTTCAAGATGTTCACGGGCCCATTTGACTTTGTCTTCAATGGATCCACCATTGATTTGGATTTCCATAATATGTGCCTTCTTTTGACGTTGCTTTAGCAACTTCATCTGGGTGTGTGCAATGATCCTGACCACACTACAGTAGCGGATCATTTTCTTGAAGTCTTTTTCGATGGACTTACGGCCCAGCTCATCTTGCCACTTCTTACTGGCCTTTGAGAATGCCTTCTTCTTGCACTTGTACCTAATTAAAGCACATTGTAAAGAGGAGGCTGCAAAAAAAACCAAACAGTCTCATCGTGTTGAGCGGAGACTGTTTTGGTAAACATGCTGTTGGGCATATTTTTTGAAGGCTCTCATCCAGCGATAGGAGAGCTGAATTATTTGATTAGTAAATTGTTGAATAATTACAATAAAAGCTTGTAAAATAAGAAACTTGGCAACAAAACTGCAAATAGGGAAGATGCAATATTTTTATTTTTGTTTTCATTTTAAAGAATTCCATGTAGAATAAACCACAGATATATTAAAAAATTAAAACATTGTGATTTATCGGAAAATTTGCGGTTTTAAATTGACAATTTAAATTTTCGCGCCAAAACGAACCTATGGTTGCGATGACGTCACTCCTGTCTGTCAATGGTCGTAATTGTTCGTTGCTGGCTTTAAATTTTCATATTTTTGCATATTTTTTCGACTTTCGAAATATTTTTTTGAAAAATTTAAAATGGACTATCCATCAACATCATGTGATCATAACAATACCACTAATATTCCCAAAAAAAGCCATGTTGACTCATGTTTTGTGCCAATCTACTTCAACAAAGTTCCCAAATAAATTGTTTTTGACTGGAACTTCTGACCCAAAACTGAAAAAAAGTGGTTTCAAGCTACGAAGAGAAATGACAATTATTCTCCAAAGACCATAATTCGATGCTGAGAAGATCACTTTGACGTAAGTCGGCGAATATACTTGTTATATGCTTAATTAATCTGCTTGTACGTAAAAACGCATCAGTAACCTACCTAATACTTATATATTTACTTTTATATTTTTACATAACGTAGTAATTTAGTCCCTTTCATTTCTACACTTAAAGAACTCTGCACTTTGGACAAAAAAAAGGTAAAACCATGTCAACGCTAACTCTTGGTAAATTCCTGGAGTCTGCTTTGATAAACGCAACTTCCATTTTTATTAAATGTAAAAAAACGCAATAAATATTCCCATAAAATAATATTTACTTTAACAACCATAACCTCAAAGAAGTTGTCATAACAGGAGTGACGTCACTAAACGCTGATTGGTGTTTTAAAATACGTTCCGTTTCAAGTATTTTTAATTCGTAATAATTGTTAAAAAACTACATTATGTAAAATAAAAACGTTGCAGTGGCATTTCTTTTATATTTTTTTAACATTTTAATCATAAAATTTTCATAAATATTACATATGCATCTTCCCTATTGCAAAAATATATCATTGGAGTAAATAAATGGAAAATAAGATATTAAATGTCACTGGTCTCACCAATTCTTGTAGAACCGGCGTCGGCAATCCTCAGACATATGCTCAGCCCATACAGTGAGCAGAGCTCGGAGGCCATGGGGAGTTTCAATGTAGCCTACCACACCAACTGCTACCATGGGTGGAGTCTCTATAATAGTGACAGCTTCCACGATTTCTTTCTTGTTAATCTCTGTGAAATTAATTAAAAGGACAATTAGTTACTAAATCGAACACACAACACGAGATAAATCCTTTCTTCGTTATTGAGGCTATATACTCCAATACTATTTCAGGAAGATTAATGACTACCTGTAAGCACTTTCCATAGTCTAGTCAGGTTGGTTGAAATTCACACAGTAACTACCCTAGTGATATTTGATGAGCTTTAAACGGGCTATACACTGCCCAATTTTAAGGGTTCAATCGAAAGGGCGGGTGGCCATGTGGTCATTTTAGTCGAGATTAAAAACAGACCTAGAATATGCAATTATAACACAGCGCCGATCACCCTAGATTGAGTCCCTAATTCACATGACACCATCCTTATAGTCAGGGTAAGGGTCTCTTAAATTGGGTCGCGTAAATCCCGCATTAGCTCAGTGAGGAAAACAATTTCATGTTTTACATTATGCTGTAAAGTGCAACAACCATAAAAGATAATAAACACAATACATAGGTATAAGAGGTCAACTTACTGGATCCAGGACGGTCGGGTTCACGTACCACGTGGGTCATACCAGCCTTGTAACCGATAAAAGCTGTTAAATGCACTGGTTTGCTAGGATCATCCTTAGGGAATGCCTTCACTTTACCACGATGACGGCGGGATCTCTTTTTGGGGTAGAACCCCATAGACCCATGACGGGGAGCAGAGAACTTCCTGTGCGACTGAAAAAATTAAAGACTCCATAGAATTTCAAATACCTAACTACATTTTAGATTTACACTAAACGCCACGAAAACGCATCAGTCCGCCCTAGATAATCTTCACTTCAAGATTCAGGTTCTAACCGTGTAATATTTTATTAGGTTGTTCATCATGTGCGTTCAAGAAAATTCAAAAAATCAACTCACTAATAAGGTAAGCCAGCAATTAAGATTTACTTTGTTACAAAATAGACAATTTAAAGTAAACGATTAAAATAATTTATAAAGATTTTAAAACCACTCACCATGTTCAATTACAGTCGCAACTAGGGACACGAAAAAAGTATCGATACTTTGTGGTATCGAGTACTTTTCCTTTCGATACCGATACTTTTGTACTCGATACTTTGTATTCGATACTTTTACTTATTGAGTACTTTTTGGCAAGTAAGTATCGATACTTTTAAAATTTGGACAAGCGCCTCATATTGTTATGATATATTCAAATTCTTTCCAATCTGTGACTGTGTTTATTTTGCGCTTTGTTTTGTTTCATAGTTATTTATTTAGCGACCATATTGTTAGGAATTGTGATTGATGATTCGCCGTTTATTGTGCTTTTCGCTTGACTGCATTCGATGTATTCAAGTGTAACACTATTATTCTGTCTGTGCTGTGTATACCTATTTGAAACCACGGACCTGAAAAAAAGACGGACGTAACCTCTTCTATAATTATAATATTGAGTGAAGCATGCCAATGGCCGCCGTTAACTGCGTGTCAGATTCAAGTAGCATTTTAATTATTAATGTGATATTAATGAACACTTTTTAAGTGTCAGAAATCACAGCTATTTTCTTTTCATTATATAATATAGCAATTTGTGAATTTATATGTCCTTTTACTGTTATTATACGTACTATAATAAAATTGGATTGTTTTTCTTTCAAATTTTAACCCGGGGGGGGGGGGGGGGGGGGTTGCTCATCGGGCCACAGAGGATCCGATAAGGCCCTATGAAATGTACTCGATACTTTGAAGTATCGATACTTTTGTTTCGATACTTTTACGAGTACGATACTTTTTTACCGATACTACTCATGAGTACAGTATCGATACTTTCTATTCGATATCGTGTCCCTAGTCGCAACAAAAATGACCGAGTCATAAACAGAACCGGATAGGCATGCGTCCGATATATCAAAACGAATCCAAAATCCGATTTCAAACACAAATCGATACCGAACGATTTCTCAACTAGAAAATCCGATTTCAGAAATCTAACCGAACCAAAACGCTAGCGATCACGTATCCAAATGTAAATCGGATTCGAAATTCGTGCTATCTTTTTTTCTCCGCTTTGTAGCGATTGGTTAGAAAGAGAGAAAGCGAATTTGTTTACAATTTCGAACGTCAGTAAAATTCGCTTTGTCTCTTTCTTACCAATCGTAACAAAGCGGAGTAAAAAAGATGGCGCGAATTTCGGAAGTCCGATTTGGATTTCTTGTTTACGGAAATCTATTGCCATTGAATATGTGCGATCAATATAGTCTTACGACACAGTACTTAAAGACTATATTTGCGTGACTAGGCTGTGAGGTGATGTATTTTGGCTTATATCTTAGCGTGCGTTTGTTTACTACAAAAACTTGGTGCTTTTGTTTAGATGCAAATTTGACCTTGATATGCAAGTGCACGCATGTCAGTCAGTGATTTTTGTTTGCCGGGTTTAGATAATTATTAATTACGTGTTTGTTAAGACTGGATTGGAGTTCAGAGTTCATAAAGATAATAATAATAAGTCAACTTAGTAAATTGTGTACCCACATATTATTGAAATTTTGACGTGACAACGTCTTAAATTAGGTTGCGGCTGGGAGTCACTTATGAAAAAGTGTAACGCTCGGTAACGTTACGATGAGTCTCTCGTGTTAAGTTTAAGTTTACATGTACAATGTTTTAGTAAACAAAATATATTTCTATAGTTAAAAACCACACCAGGCTGGTGCACCACGCGCAGGTAATGTGTGACCCACGCGTGCCCCACCTGCGGGGCATGCTTCACCTACCACGCCGCGCTATACAACCACACCAGGCTGGTGCACCACGCGCAGGTAATGTGTGACCCACGCGTGCCCCACCTGCGGGGCATGCTTCACCTACCACGCCGCGCTATACAACCACACCAGGCTGGTGCACCACGCGCAGGTAATGTGTGACCCACGCGTGCCCCACCTGCGGGGCATGCTTCACCTACCACGCCGCGCTATACAACCACACCAGGCTGGTGCACCACGCGCAGGTAATGTGTGACCCACGCGTGCCCCACCTGCGGGGCATGCTTCACCTACCACGCCGCGCTATACGACCACACCAGGCTGGTGCACCACGCGCAGGTAATGTGTGACCCACGCGTGCCCCACCTGCGGGGCATGCTTCACCTACCACGCCGCGCTATACAACCACACCAGGCTGGTGCACCACGCGCAGGTAATGTGTGACCCACACGTGCCCCACCTGCGGGGCATGCTTCACCTACCACGCCGCGCTATACGACCACACCAGGCTGGTGCACCACGCGCAGGTAATGTGTGACCCACGCGTGCCCCACCTGCGGGGCATGCTTCACCTACCACGCCGCGCTATACAACCACACCAGGCTGGTGCACCACGCGCAGGTAATGTGTGACCCACGCGTGCCCCACCTGCGGGGCATGCTTCACCTACCACGCCGCGCTATACAACCACACCAGGCTGGTGCACCACGCGCAGGTAATGTGTGACCCACGCGTGCCCCACCTGCCGGGCATGCTTCACCTACCACGCCGCGCTATACGACCACACCAGGCTGGTGCACCACGCGCAGGTAATGTGTGACCCACGCGTGCAAGTAAATTCTTATTCTTATTTTCATTCAATTCCTTGTTCCTATTGTGCAATTTAATTATATTCATATCAATAAATATTCTACCGAGAAAAAGACGTTTTTAATTTGTTTTTTTTTAACTGTTGACTTTTTAATTGATTAGACGAGTTTTGTGTTGGTTTTCAAAATATCGTTAATTAATTGTTTGTTATTGTCGTTAGCTAATAAAACCAAATCTTAACACAAACTAGTGAATTGGCTTAGTTAGGCACATCTGAAATCGGATATCTAAAAACGGATTTTGAAATCGATTTTGAAATCTGAAATCCGATATATATCCGTTTGCGTTCAAAACCAAAAACGCCCATGTCTAGAACCGGACAGAACTAGGGAGGGATGCCCGATCTGCATCTTTTATCTGATAATCGATTCACGGCAATGCGATTACGTGATTTTTTAATCGGTTCAATAGTACACGATTAAATCATACTTAAAAGATATAAAAACTAATTTCTTTTGCGGATCTCATAATTAGAAAAACTCAAAGAACCAGAAGATCAAAATCGTATGAAAATATCAACTTGACAAAATGGCCAAAACCATTAAATTCGTACATTGGAAAGGCAATTATATAAAAATTATGTAAAGATTAATTATAGAAAGCATAAAATATAGATAACACTTCATTATGCAGACTACATTAAATATTACACACTAGGAAAAAACTTAAAATAGTGAACAATTGACAGTCTTTACGCTATGTAGCATTTTCTCCCAGACAATCATAGCATGGAGAGACGAAATTTAATAAAAGAGGAGGTGTGCTTATATAAAAAAATAAAATCATGACAATAAAAAGATCCACGATTAAACATACGCAAATACCTACAATATATTAAAATATACAAATATTAAATGAATGAGTAGAGAGACATACATACATACATACATACAGTTGGAACAACACAAACAACTACTGTGAAAGGAAAAAAGTCCTCTGTCTGCTTCTTAAATATACCAATCGTTTTGGCACATCTGATGTTAACGGGGAGAGAGTTCCAGTGGCGCACAGCTTGACACAAACTCCTTTATTAATAAACGAGGAATAAGCTGAGACTTGTTACACCGTGTTTTGTTCATATCACTCAAGTGCCATTTGTCATTCAATGAAGAGAGACAAAACATAGAGTACACAATACAATCCAAGCTTATTCTTCGTTTATTAATAAGGGGGGAAAAAGAATATTTATAAAAGAGTGGTATTATGTGATGGAGTTTTAAGGCTCAAATTCTCAGATGAGCGTAACGACTAAGAGTGGGAACAGTGGAGAAAACTGAAAAGTTCTTTAAGATAATTGGAATAAGAGGGATTAAACAAAACATTGTAAAGAAGGGAAAGTATATGAGTATCCCGGCGACGACGAATTGGAAGCCACTTGCGTTGAGAACGGTACTGGGAAACATAATCATATTTTCTTAAACCAAATATGAACCTGATGCAGAAGTTTTGAAGACGCTCAAGTTTATTCAACTTGTCCTCCGTAAGGGTACGGCCAGAGTGCACTCAGATTCAGATTCAGACTCAGAAAACAAGCGCGAGAAATATACAGTATAGTTTAAGCAGGTTGCCTGCTGCCACTATGGCCTTCTAATAATATTAGGCTTTAGAGAATTATGCCCGAATCGACACCATAAAGAACTTACTACTTTTTATTTTGTTTGGTTTGTCTCTCGGTTTGTTTGTTTATTGGCAATACATTGATGTAAACGGCTTATAGGTAGAAGAAAGTTAATCAAATTAGAAGTTAGTTATCAGGTCAGCTGCCTACATCGAGCGACTTTTTTTAAATATCTTTCAATTTAAGAGATACATGACGACACACGAGGCCCTTGATTTTATTTAAGTGCACCGTCATTAATATCGTGTCGCAAAAAAAATAACGATTACCTTAAACTCACTAATATTTGTTCATGGGTGTAGAGTGTAAGAGGAGTCACGTCATCGGAACCATAGGTCCACTTTCTCGCGAAAATTTAAACTGCCAATTTAAAACCGCATTTATTCCGATAAATTACAATGTATTAATTTTTTTAATATTTCTGTGGTTTATTCTACATGGAATTCTTTAAAAAGAAAACAAAAATAAAAATATTGCATGTTGCCTATTCGGATTTCTCTATAGCCCAGGAAATAAAACATCACTATATTATTAAGATAAAAAGGAATATAAGAGACAAATATAAATGTTTTATTCATAACTTATTATTTTTACTGCCTAGAGTTTTTAAACACAGTTTCTTTAATATAAAGTAGCGAATGTTATTGTAACCCATAAAAATAGTACCTATTCATCTGGGACGACATAAAATACGACTAGAGGAAATTAAATTTCTAGTAACTTGAAGCTCCTTGGAAGCTGTCTGGTTAAAACAGATAAGTACTTTAACATGACGAGCCACAAAATAGATCTTTTAAGTTGCAGTGACTACAGTGTCATTGTAAATGCATAGTCCCAAAATCTGAAACATTAATAATAATCTCGGATCTCGAGATACATGTAGTATTCGCAATCAGCTCCACTTAAAACTATAAATTCGAAAAATACTCCTAACAACTTCATTTGAAAAAAAGACCGTCAGATTAAAAAGTTAATTTAAATTAAAACCGAAAAGGATCAAACCAAGGTTAGTAGTAGTAGTCTTGAATCTGGTCATACTTTAACAATCGGTACCAATTATTGAGAAAATTTGATTTATTCTAGAATATCTAATGGATCTCAACTGTTGAAATAGCCTTGTTACTTACTAAACAGAATTCCAGACTAGATAAGGTTTTTTTTCAGTTTAGGATAATATTTTATTCAAAATTATATGTTAAGCAGGCGAGTTTTCCGATTTATTTAAAATAACTATAATATTTTCGACAACCCTTCACTTTAACACCCCGCTTGAAAGGTTTTCTTTTTTTGGCACCAAATATCAGCCATATTTGACTCATGAAACAACTTTTTTAATAAAATGAGCTATCAAAGTTAAGGGTTTTAAAAGACGGATTTTATTTTATTTGAATATACCTAGTAGTAGTTTTTTTCTGGAGGTGTCGAAAAGGAAAGACGTTAAAAATTTGCTGATTTAATTTTTTGGATAAAATATTTACATATAAACCGCATTTATATGAGTAATTAAGCCACAATACCTCCCGGTGAGTGTCATTTATCACTTCATCACACCTGTACCTGTTTATTATGGAGGCAATGCAAGAATCCTTAGCCAAATTGCAAAACTTGTTCATGGATCGCATGGATTCATAT